CATATTTATATATTCTTTTCCAAAGTAGCCCTTCTAATAATGATAGTTCTAGTCGATACACTTGATTAGCAAGGATATTTTAAGAAAGACAGCACTTATTTAGGACAAATAACTAACTCAACTTACTTTCTTAATCTCTTTAAATTAATCAACTGGCTCTTATAATTAGGACTGGAGATAGTATTTGTTAAATAGGTTAAGCCATTCCAAGCCCTTAAAGTTATGGGCCCTAGCCTATTCCAATCTTTAGGTATGAACCCTCATTAATCGCCCCTCTTGCCCCGCTGCCCATAATGAGGAACGTGCAAACCCACACTCCACGACATACTCAGACGCGCCCGTGTGTTACAAAACAAACATATGGTGATGCCAGTGTCAAATACTAATTCCGACCTTTAATGCTCCTCTACTGCTAAATGTAAAATATTTTTTATAGTATAATTTATATTATAAAAAGGGTCTTATATTTAGGATCGGAGGAGTACAAGAATTAGTTAATTAATTTGAGTAAATTAAAAAAATTAGTTAAATTAATTATTTATAATAAATATGTGTTGTTTTTTTAAAATATTCTTATTAATCAAGTATATTAGTTAGAACTACCATTATCATAAAGACTATCTTGAAAAAAAAAGGATAAATATGAAAGACAAAGTAAATTGAGATTTTATATTTATGACCAAAATAAAACTCTAACGAGCTCTTATATTAAAAATTGAAGGTAATGGCATTGATCGGTTGAAATAGCAATCGGCATTTTAGGCTAGGATGCTAGAGGTGAAAACATAAATTAATTAAATAATTTCAATATAAATGTTTGATCAATTTTTTGATTCCATACTCAATTCAATGTTTCTATCATTTTAAAAAAGTTATAATTAATTACTATTAGTAATAATGAGTTAGTGACAATCACGGTAAGGAAAACCATGAGGAATGAATATCTTTCCGTCGTATAAAAAAGAAAAATTTCATGAGGAATGAAGCAATAAGAGGGATAATGACCGCACAATAACAATGTGCAGCCAACTTAATCAAAGCCAAAAAGGACGATGTTTTCCCATAAAAAAAAATGCTATTCTGATTTTTAATATAGAACCTAATTATTAAGTTAATTTTAATTTTAAATATAAAACATATTTCTCATATTTATTTTTTCTAAATTACCCCTACAAATACTTTCTCAACCATAATCAAGTAACTGATGAAGGAAGGATATTAAGAAAGATGATTATGGTGTTTTAGAAAAATCATATTATATTTCTTATAGTTAATTAATTTACTTAACTTTTTTAATCTAATAAAATTAGTTAAATAAGTCTTATATTAAAGATTGAAGGAGTACATTTATTAATATAGCAGTGAGATGGCGGCAACATGATAATGAAAGGAATACGAATTTTGCACGATTTCTTCAAATTATAAAGATGTAATTTAAATCATTTAAAAATTTGGACGATTCATCTTATATTTTTTTTCTTTGAAAAAAATTATTTTTGTTTTAATTATAACTTCTATTATATCAAAATATATTATAATCATAAAAACCAAAATAAAATTGAGTCTTTTGAGTTTTAATGTGAATAATTTAGGTGAAGGGTGAGTACTACCCGAAACTCCTGACAAATGATTTATTCTTTTTTTTTTTTTAAACAAGTCGGAGAAAGTGATAGATAATTTATCCTTTTAACGTATAGCAAAAAGTAAATTGATATTCATACCTCTTGGTAGAAATGAAAGGTTAGTTTAACCAAAAAGAAATGAAAACTTGATTGAGAATGCTACGATTTACTGAAATTGTGTTTTTTGGACTGGCGCAAGAAACATGGAAATATTAGAAAATACATTGATGATTGTTGAACGGCAAGAGTTGACGTACTTTTCTAATTTTTAATATAAAGTCTAATCATTGAGTTGATCCTCATTTTAAATTATAAGACTTATTTATCATATTTATTATTTTTTTAAATTATCCTTTTTGATACTTCATGAATTATAATCAAATGGGAAAAGGAGGAAAGATATTAAGAAATATGATTATGATATTTTAAAAAAAAAAATTCATGTGATTAGCTAGTGAATTGGATCTCATTTATAATCTTACGTCGTTAGTGCTTAATATTTTAATTTCCAAAAAAGAGAGCAGATAATTAGCTAAAGAAATAGAAGCAGACCAAAAAGGATACTAAAAGAAAAATTATCAAAACGAATTTTTTTTTTATAGCTCACGCATTCATTATATTTTATAGAGATTTCAAACTCATAATCTTATACTTAAAACAAACTTGAAAATGTAGTTTGAGCTAGCTTAGACACAAACAGAATTTATTGGTAAATAATATATTTAAATAGTTGAATTTTAAGAAAGTATAATGGCATTATGTAATTCATGAACTCATCTTAATTAGTGATGAGGATTGTTGTTGTTATTTTATATTCTTTTAGTTATTCATAAGATCAAACAGTATAGTGAGCATAATTGCGTAAATAAGAATAATTCATGTAATTCAGCTAAAAAAATAAAGAAAAATTTCATGTAATTAAAATGTTGAGCTTAACTGTGGACCGCCTATAGTGTCCTAGTCTCTAATATTTCTCATAATGACCCAAGCTCTAAATAGTGCAGTTTTAAATTATTTTTTTAATGATTTTTCCGCAAAAAAAAAAAAAACTGCGCACTTTTAAAACATTTTTCTTTGCAAAATGAAAAACAAAATTCAAAACCGCACCATTCCGTGTCCATGAGATATTAAAATATTACTTATTTTATATAGAATTTAATGAACAGAAAAACAAAAAAAGCATTTGAGGGCGCTTGTCCATTATTAATACTACCTCCGGTTATTGATATAAATACTAGTTAACTAATTTGAGTACATTAAGAAAATTAATTAAGTTAGTCATTTGTAATAAATAGATATTGTCTTTCCTAAAATACCCTTGCAAATCATGTATATTAGCAAAGTTATTTTAACATGTATAACTACTATAAGAAGCACATTAGGAAAAAAAAGATCAATATAAGAAATAAAATAAAATTGAGTCATATATTTAAAACTAAAAGTCAAACTAGCATTTATATTAAGAATTAGAGATAGTACATCAGTGACTAAAACGTGCAATCAAGAAAGGAAAGGTTGGCCAAATTTTCAAAACTAGTTGTCATTTAAATTGACGTCTTGGATTAGAGTTTGTTTTACGTGTACGATAAATTTAATGCTACTACACAGTCGAGCAATACCATCGCTCTTAAAAGGTACTCTCATATGATAAACGGTAAAAATAATTACAATTACGATAAGCACCTTCAGTGGTCATTATTATCCATCCATTATTTGATCCAAATGGTGTTATCGTAAGAAACAAAATTTTAATGGAATATGATTATCATGAAATAAAAATTCAACTTTATGAATTAAGATTCAAATCCAAGTAAAAAAGATATTCACATTTAGTATCTAACAAATATATCGGATTACCAAAAAAATATCCAAGGGCAGTGACTCCCTGCAAATATATCATCAAATATATGATTTAAAAATAATTGCAAGTTCGAACCTTCTAAAGGATATAATGGGTTATGACAAAAAAAGATGACACACCCATGCAAGTTTCTAAAATTAAAACTAGCGCTTGCTTGTACTCGCTTTTGTAATCTCATGTGCTCTCCGAAAATCAGTTTAAAAGCCTAAAGGCCAATTTGAGTCTAAAAATTCTGGGCCAAAAAAAAAACTTTGAGGCTAAAAATTATGTTTGCATTGGCGTTAGAGTTAAATGAATTTTTTTCCAAAGGCCAAGTTAAACCTAGAACCACATTTTGGAGCTTTTGAGGTTATCAAAGCCAAATGAGCATCCAAACTGACCTGTTTTTAACCCAAACTTATTGAAACATAAATTAAATTACACTAGTTGACTTTTAGTTCAATTTCAGTTTGTAAAATAAATGGACTATTGAACAGCTCAATCTTATTTTGTTTAAAAAAAAAAGGAAAAAAATTACTTTTATGAAAAAATGAATAATATTTGGATGGGCCGGCCCAAACTCTTAGAAGATTACACAAAAAAAACTAAAACAGCAAAAATCTCTGAGCAGTGACTTCAATCGTTTTGTTTTTTTCCGGGTTTCTGGCTGAAATTTATGTCAGTTTGTTCCAAACCACTATGAATTGTTCCTGAGTTCCAAATTCATGATCCTAAGCTTAAGCTTCCAGGGTCATAAATTATGGTTTATCACCAGAATTTTATGAACCAGACATGGATGATAATTAATATATTTGATTCCAACAAATAAAGTCAAGTGATGTTAAATCAAGCCAAATCAGGAAGAAAAGTTTGGTTAATATGACAAACCAGGGTAAGCCACAAGCAAGGGCCTTTCAATCATTCAAACTCAGTCCCATCTTATTGTATTTGATTTATTTTATACAAGTTGAAAAAAAAAAGAATTTAACTCAAGTGTTTTATAAAGTTTCTCATTTTTGACTAACAAACTGATAGTTGAGATAGTGAGAGGTCTCACCCTGCAAAGAAGAAACCATAAATTCAAATATCAAAAAGCGCACTTGTTAAAAGAGGCGAAAACCCTTGCACTCTAAGCTTCCAAAGGGAAAACCCTTAATCAAATAAAAAGAAAAGTTCTCATTTTTCATAACATAATTTGTTTATGAAATTCTTTTTCGATGATAACATATTCAAAAATTATGATGTGATTAGATAAAATTGAATAACATAAATCTTACCATCTGCCAAGCATGGGTTAATTTCAAGTTTGAAAAATAAATCACATTGTTCATAACATGTGATAAAATAAATGGATGGCTTAAAATGTCAAAGTAAAGACTATCTGACACTTTTAGTTTATCATTTTAATTATTTATTTATAAATACATTTTAAAAATACAGTAAATATGAAACTCTCATACTTGAATCTTTTTGGCAACAAAAGAAAACTCTCTCTTACCCTATCCAAACAAAGCCTTGGAACATTGGGAGCAGTTTCGTAACACAAAATCTCACTTTTATTTCAAAAAAAAAAAATGATATGTTACAGAATCAAATTCAAAACTGAACAAAAATCTTTGCAAAAACCCGTAAACACTTTGATATATGTTCATTGCTATATGTGAATGATGCTTTTTATCTTTTCTGGAAATTGAGGAACCTGATGCCATAGGCAAACACTAAGAGGAAGATAACAACAAAAGCAACATGAACCACAGCAACTTGACCGAGGAAGTCATACTTAAACCCCATTTGCTTCTCAAGATATGCTTTAACTGATATGGGTTTTCCTCCGGGTATCTCTACTAAAGACTCTCTGTCTCCCACTTGGGAAGTCACAAGCCCATATATAGTCCAAGCCACTGGGGATGCCCAGTAATACCATCTCCACCATATTGGTATTTGCTGCACAAGTTAGATCAACCCAAGTTTCAGTTCAATGGACAATGGAGCATGATAAAAAGTACCTATTTGGAAAGTAATTATACTGCCTACGGTCTTAGATGTAGAAGCTAGTTAACTAATTCATACAAACTAAGAAAATTAGGTAAGTTGGCTATTTGTAAAAGTTCATACCGGTTTTCCTAAAATATCCCTCTTTTAATGATTTAAATTGAAGTAGTATCAACATGGCCATATGATGTTAAACTGTAATTAGTATGGCATTAGGTAGTTATGGTAGTTATAAAAACTAGGAGTTAGTTATGGTTGTTATAAGAAACTAGCCGTTGGGGGATGAAGACTATATAAAGGGGGACGAAACTGTAACTCGGATGCCACGCCTATTGTGAACAATTCAAGGTAATATTCAGCCTAAACTCCTCTATTCTCTCTCCTAAATTGTGAACAATTTAGGGGTATATAAGCTCATTGTTAATCCTAATCAAGTAGCTCAAACTGTTTTTGTATGATGGATGAGTTTTAAGCAATGATATTTTGCTTGAGACATAGAATTTCAAAATCTGAATTGAATTTTATGCACAGTAAGATGAAGGATCTTTTAGTTGTGCTGGACATACCGTTCTTGGGATGAGAAATCCAGAGAAGAGGTTCCAGAAACTGATGAAGAATGACATAACAATTGCAGCAATTTGGTGGTTTGGTGTGAGAGCTACGGTCATCATGCCATACAGAGTGAAGTAGACAAAGCATGTGAAAATAAAATAGTAGAACCACAAGAACTTGTCTGCCTGAGGTTGGAACCCGATCATTGAGTAGAGGATAGCAGAATAAGCTAAGGTTTGGATGGCAACATAAATTATCTCTATTGCTACCTGCAAGGCAACAAAAAAAATACCAATTGTGTGAATTTGCTTTGGCATTAGGCTTGTCAAGTTTTGTTTCTCATGCTTTTGGCTATATTTTAAAAGTTTGGTTACATCAGGAGGCTTCTTTTACCTGAGCTATTGCATAAGGCAATTCTGAATACATTCCGGCTGCTCTTTCGCGATAGAAGACAGTTCTCTCTATTGCAACAACTGGCTGTACAGAGTTGGTGTTAGTGGCTCCAAGGAAAATAACAGCTGAATACATAGCTCCCAACAGATTCAGAAGATCTTGTTGCTTATGTCTGCAAAAGGAAAACATTGATGATTAAGACATACATGTTAATAATGCCAACGAGATTTTTAATTGTTCCCTTATTCTTTGAAATTTTGAGAGAATTAAAAAATGATGTCTTTTAGGTGATCTTGCAATATATCAGTAGAAATTTTTTGTCAGATTGAAACATAAGTGGACTTACGTTTTGTCTCCTTTATTCCAAAATATAAGGCCAAACATGACACCAACAATTATTGTCATGAAGAACCTGACAACATTATACTGTGGATTTCTCCAGTAAGACCAGTACTGTTTCCAGAAGCAAGCTTTGCATTGAGTGATGAAGGACTGGGAGTATTTTGTTGGGAAGTAAAGGTCCTTAGTTCCAGGCACTTGTGTGCTTAGCTCCTTAATAAGTTCTTCATTCTTGCTGTAAAATAGTAAATATGACAAAATTCAAGTCTCTGAGAAATTTAAGATTAAAAAGGCAAGCAGGAATGCCCAGGAATGCAGCACTTAGTGCCCCTTACTGATATAATTCTGATTTTGTGTATAATTCAGCAAAGTCTACATCAAGTTGAGACTCAGCTGCCGGAGTACTTATCTCCAACATCCACGTGGCAGGATTATGCCCATCTCTAATCTTAGGAACTCCTGGAATGGCCTGCAAAATATTGTGCAGATAGGTAAGATTACAAACAGCTTATTACAAAATTCGAGAACTTTTTATGCAGAGACTAGAAGTGAGACTTACTTCAAAGTACTCTATAAGGTTCTGAGAATGTTGACCAAGAGGTCCACCATATATGATCTGACCTCCTCTCTTCATTAAAAGTAGCTAAAGGAAAGATGATTTTAAAGATGGTAAGAAATTTTTTTTTTTCAAAGCAATCATGGAAAAAACAGTGTCATCTGATAAATTTTGATATTGCACCTCATCAAAAGCTTCAAATATGTCAATACTTGGCTGATGAATTGTGCAGACGACAGTTCGTCCGGTATCAACTGTATTTCTAACTGTACGCATGACAATCGCTGCAGCCCGAGCATCCAAACCTGATGTTGGTTCATCCATGAAGATAATGGAAGGATTGGCAACCAATTCTACTGCTATTGTTAGTCTCTTCCTCTGCTCAGTTGATAAGCCATCTATTCCTGGAAGGCCTACTAGAAAATTCCTTATTGGTTGTAATTCCACGAGCTCCATAACTTCCTCAATAAACATCTATAACAGAGAAAAGAAACCATAAATAACGGGAATAAACATCTATAATTTTGATTTTCAAGTCAAGTAGTCTAAATGGAGAAGTTATTGGTCATTCATACACTGGATTATCTAACTCAATTGGTGTATTTCAAAGTTGTTTTCTTGTGTCATGCGTCTTTAAGCCATTTGAATGATGTATGATCCTTTGTTCTTTTTTCTTTCACAGACAGAATAATTACAAATGGCAAGTTGTACAACCTAACATTCATTTACACATCCAGTGGCCAAAGAAGAAATACCTTTCTTGTTTCTTTTTCAACTTCTTTACCAAGGCGCAGCCAAGCAGAAAAAGCAAGAGATTCATAGACTGTAACATTTGGAGAATGAATGTCATTTTGTTCACAGTAACCACTAATCCGAGCAAAAGTCGCTTGGTTCTTCAGGTAACCAGATATGGTGATGTTTCCTTCAATATATCCGCCAGTTTTTCTACCTGCAAGCACATCCATTAAGGTAGTTTTTCCAGCACCACTCACACCAACTAATGCTGTCAGAACTCCAGGCCTGAAAGCACCACTTGTATCTCTTAATAGTTGCAGCCTAGTCTCCTCAATTCCTTGTTTTTTCATTTCCTGACATAAAAGTTGAAATTTTCTGTCAAATGAACCTTTTACAGGAGCAGAAACTATTGTTGCAAAAGCTACTAAATTTTGTTATGGTTCTTAGCATTACTGCAACCTTATGTTGAAAATGTTTCAGTATGAGAGAAATCTAACCACCGCGAGTTAAACTTGACAATATCAAACTGTATTTTATTTGAGTAAAATGATGATGAGATACAATATAATTTAAAAGAGAGAAGAGGGTATTGAGATATACACGTGGCATATTGATGTAGTAATTGACATGACTAAAAGCCAGAGACAGGGGTTGGAATGGCAGCACCATCCCCTTCTTGGTTCTTGCATTACTATCTGTTGCTTTAGGAGTGTAAAGATCTGGGACAACATATAACACAAAGGTTCAAGAAGCTAAGTATTTAATTATGCCATTAAATGTGAGTGGATAAACTAGAAATATATGCTAACGAAGTTGAAATCCATTCATTGAAGGAGAGAACGAATTCTTCTAGTGGTCCTCTAATATTTGAAGGGCAAAAAGTGAAATTCTATACCTTCAAATTTGGCAGCTTTTGTTGCAACTTTTTTTTCCTTGGGGGATGAAGAATTCATGCTTGCATTGTTGTCTTCTTCTTCCAAAATGATAGATTTAGAATTTCCCAAAGCTGCAATTTCATTTTAAACAAAGTTTAGAGAGTCGTTTCAATTTATGGATTATTGTGAAGGCTCTCTTTGCTTTTGTGATGTGTGTCCTTTCTCTAGTATAGAAACTTACGGTTTAAATATGTCAAAGCCAGAATGAATAATATGTTGAAAAGTAAGGAAAAGCCTAGGAGGGCACCAACAGATATCCAGTACCAAGACTCTTCTGTGAACAAGCCTCTTGACTTGAGAAGAGCCTTCCCAACTGTAGGCTCTGAAATTCTTGTGTCATTATTGGGCTGTGAAAAAAGAAGAAGAAGCAAGAATTAGCATTTAGCAATAAACTGTACTAATGGAATGTCATAGACTAGAACAAGAGGTGTATCCTTAATCCTAATAGTTAACATCTTACATTGCCCCATCTTTTGTCTAGAAACTCATTGATGGCTATGGCATTTTGTCCATACATCATAGGAGAAATATAATATCCCCATATCATCCATGGTTCAAGGTCATCTGCAAATGGGGGAAAAAAAAAAGAAGCAGAGAAATAAAAAAGTTTCATAAGAAGCATCAATTGATACGTGAAGAGTCTCATTCTTGGATATATAGTAATGTTAGAGAGAATTATAAGATTATTAATGAGTTTTCACTTGACAGCTTCAAATGGTGCTTGATCATATGTCACCAAGTATGGTTATTATGAGTTGAATTATGATTCTTTTTTTTTTGGGCTTTTTTTAGTCTCTTTAGATTATTTTGAATATACTAGAAGAAACATTGAAGGGATTAACTTAATTATTACCTCTAGAAACAATGAATCCACCAAGGACAAAAACAATTAGTAATGTGAAGGTGCCAAGTGTATTTGCCACAACTTGTGTTCTTCCAATGGCGGCAATGAAGCGAAAGAGAGAGAGGGCCATTTGATGCACACTGAAGAATGCCAATAATTGACGGAAAAACCTGTAGCAAATAATTTTTATTGATTGTTAGACAAATAATCTTTATTTTGAACAGAGGGGGGAAAAGAAGTAAATTGCAATTTTCCCCGTGATGAAATTGTTTTATCACTTTTATCACTTTAGATTAGGCATCAGGGATGGACCAGAAAGTGTTTTTTCTTTTTCTTAATATTAAATTGTATGTGTGTTGGTTGTCCCAATATTTGAAAATGTTATTTTTAATATCACTCAATTTTTATGCTATACCAGCATTAATCAATTACACTGATATTGCAGAGGGTACACAAAGGTAGCACAAAGATTTTATATAGATTACACCAATTGCAGATCAATTTTTTTTTTTTTTAAAAACAAAGTCAGAAGAATAAATTTTAAACCCCACCCTATTACCAATTAAGGTATGTTTTACTTATTTACTTGTATTTTCTTTTTGTCCATTTTACTCTGGTTTCTAGATAATACAATTTTTAAAACATTTCATATAACAAAGAAAAAATTTTGTTATTTTTCAAATAAAAAAAATGTAAAGTATTGAATAGCCTATAATATTTAACATAAAATTCAATTTTTTTTTTCAAAACAATAAAACTCACAAGAGAATAAGCATGGTATGTATTCATACTTGGAATACCAGCATATTATAGGTATAAAATGAATCGTAATTTTAAAGAAATGACTTGTCTGAGAGAAGACAAATAATTGAAATCTCATACATACCTACTAGCTGCTGGAGCAAAGCCTATGGTATAATAAGTAAGAATGATCCATAATCCTGATTCCATCAAAGAGAGGGGAATCCTAAGGACCCAAATAGGCAAAGCAAAAGCCCAAGCTGGATAAAACATGAAGTCTCTTTGCTTGAAGAAAATTGGGAGTCTCATAATAGTCATTGCAAGTTCCGCCATTCCATTGAACATCACATTGATAAGACTGAAGAACAAGGCACCCAAATATTTGCCTCCATCTTCCATATGTCCATGCTTCATTTCTGTTCTCAGAAACACTGTCATGGTTATCAGAGACATTATTATAATCTGAGAAGTCTTAAATATGTATATAAAAGAGTTTCTCTTCATCAATAGCCACTCCCTTGAAAAGCATGCCTTAAAGAGTTCCACTTGAGAGATCCCATATTTTTCTTTCACTAATGCAGCTCGATGGGTTTTTGTACGATCAAAAGGAGCTTCAAGTTCATGATAAAGCCTTTTACCAATGGTATAGCTTTTGAAGTGATTTACAAACTCAGGCACACTAATATACTGGTAAGGTATGTCCCTTCTAAACCAGTATTGTTGCTGATCTTTTCTTGAAGTAACTTCTTGTAAGAAATCTGCAGCTCCTTTTCTTTCTGGGCATTTGAAGCCAACACTGTGGAAGAAATCCAGAATGTTCTCACGTGGGCCTTGATAGACTATTTGGCCTTCAGAAAGTAAGATTATGTCATCAAAGAGGTCAAAGGTTTCTGGTGCAGGTTGCAGAAGAGAGACTATCATAGTAACATCCATGATATGGACCATCTGTCTCAAGAACCTAACAATTTGGTAGGTTGTGGAACTATCTAAACCAGTTGAAATTTCATCCATGAAAAGAGCTTTTGCTGGTCCAACCAGCATCTCACCTACATCAGTGTAAGAAAAAAATAATGTTTTGGTCAGATAAACACAAAGGTAACACACTTAAGAGCCATTTGCGCATTTTTACCTGACATTTATTAGTATATAAGATATATATATAGCTACTTTAAGAATCTTATCATGAAGAACAAAACCTTGATTTATGAATACATACCAGTAGTTAAACGCTTCTTTTGTCCACCTGATATGCCCCTTCTCATCTCATCTCCCACCAAAATATCAGCACATATTTCCAGTCCAAGAATCTGTTACATTGTATTATAAAGTTTTATGCAGGGAAAATTTTCTGCTGACTAAAAAAGCTATATATATATATATATATATACATGGACTTCAAAGTTCAAACCTTGAGAATATAATCTGTGATAAGGCTCGTTTCTTGACCTGCCATTGCTGTGGCTTTCATGAAAGCATCTATCTCGGGGTCTGGTTTGATTCCGGCCTCTCTTTCTCTCCTTGATAATTCTGATAGAAGATCATACCTTGTTCCAACCCCCAAGCAACGTCCTGAGAAGTCCAAGGTCTCTCTCACCGTCATCTCTCCATGATGAAGATCATGTTGGCTAATGTAAGCACATGTTCTTTCTGGAACAAATTCTGATAACTCATGACCACAATAAGTAACTCTTCCAGAGACCTGTTGATAAATTGCATCATCTAGAGTTAAATGTTGGAACTGCTTTAGACACAATATCTTACTGGCTTTTGGTTTATTACAATCCATCATGAATGGCTTCAAATTAAAAAAAAAAAAAATTATAACATCATTCACATGGGATAAATGGTAAGAGCCACTTTGTACAATGTGTGTCAAACGTGTTAGGTGGAACTTTACTTTTGAAAGGTGCACATGCATATTTTGTAATTAAAATGTGAATTTAAAAAGGGAACTCTGAAAACGACATAAAGACAGGACAGAAAAGTGGTATATGTTTTATATCACAGCAAATAAGTGTCAAAGTCATACCCTTATATCTTTGCCCAGCTTTGCCGCAAGTGCTTGAAGCAACGTGGTTTTCCCTGATCCTGGAGGCCCTAGAAGTAAAGTCATTCTAGAGAGAGAAACAATTAGCTAATAGAATTCGACTTTTACTGAATGAAAACCCATGAATAATGAAGTTGAAACATGAATTTGCCAATTATTGGTACCTTGATGGTCTTACAATTCCACTGACATCTTTCAGAATCTTCACAACCCTTTTCTTAGATGGGAAAACTTTGATTGATCCCAGAAATCCCTATTGTCCACGATCAAGGAAAAGACAAAATGTTACCAAATTCCAAACAAAGATAGTAGTGGAACAATGAGTAATCTTAAATCTCTCAAGATAGGTTCCTTTCAAATTGAAATACCTCTACCGCATTCATAGTAGAATTCAGCAGTGTTGGCAATGCCCTTGTACCAAGATATGCATCTCCTTCTACTGATAGATTCTCAAATCTGACTTCAATCTTGGGAACCTCAATTGAAACCCTGGAAAAGCAAAACATGAAACTTGGGAGTCAAATTTTACAGAAAACTAACCAGATAACCTCAAAGAAAAGTGTCTTATGGAGATCAAAGTCACCTATCAATTCTGTCCCTTAATCTATGGAGGAACTTCTCGTTGTCTTCATCGACAGTCTTCAGTATACTTTCCAAGAGAATCTTCTTCTCCTGCATGCCAAGCTTGGTAATGTCAACTTCTTCATAGTTAATTCTTCCATTGTCAAGAACTTGCTTGAGAATCCCTTTCTTCATCCTATCATATGTGGGGAGTCTCTCTATTGATGCCCACTTGAGTTCTTCTTCATCATCATCCTCCTTCCTGCTTCTCTGAAACACATTTTCTGGTCTCCCCATCAGGTCAAACAGACTCGAAGATGTCCTTCCAGATTTCGACCTCTTCCTTCCTTCACTCATTGACCTCACAACATCCTCTGCACTCAAAATTTCTGCAGCCATACTGATCAACAATGATTATCTTGATTTCTGATTCTTCTACCTTTTTCTTGCTCTGTTTTGTGAGAACAAGAGTTTTTTCATCTGAGCATTGATGAAGAAGATTCAGAATGAAAGCTCAGAACTTGAAGTAATATATGGAAACTGAGGTCGTTCATGGGTAAGAACTAGAAAAGGTTTCTGAAACTGAAAATGGGGGAAACAATATGAAGGAAGCACTATGGAGTGCTGTGTTATAGGTTAGGAACGAAGAATCTATATAAAGCCACTCTCAGAATATTTTTGTTTCAATCATAAACTTCGAAAACAATGGAAACAATGGAACTTTCCATTGGCGCGGTAATATGTAGATTATAGAGTCTGTGTTCATGAAGTAAAGGAAATGAAAGAAAGCGAAGGTTGAGAATCTTCACAGTTCATAATCATAAGATACTTTTTAATTTAATTAGTGCTGGCAAAAAATTAGGTGCAGTTTTTTCCAATGATAATAAAATTATAAGTTTATTTTTCACTGTGATTTTCACTATTTAATTTCTAAATAAAAGTATAATAATCAGTGGAAATTGTCGTAAATAATACAAAGTCGTTAGCAGCATATGTAGAAAAATATAGCTTTGCATCATTGCGTGTCAAAGTCAATCATGCAGGGATAGGCTAGCAAGTGGTGCCAAAATGTACGAAGATTAATTATTTATGATTTTATTTAATCATAATATATAAAGTAGTTACCAGGTTCTTCAGATTTTGGTGAGAAACACTTTGATATTTCTGTCCATTCATTTTCTTACTTAACAATTTCGTATTTATTGTTATTTCTTTGGCCCCTCATGTCGGCATATTTATGATGTTCCTATATTTAGAGGTGCAAATTAGATTTTATTTAATCATAATATATAAAGTAGTTACCAGGTTCTTCAGATTTTGGTGAGAAACACTTTGGTATTTCTGTCCATTCATTTTCTTACTTAACAATATCGTATTTATTGTTATTTCTTTGGCCCCTCATGTCAGCATATTTATGATGTTCCTTCTTTTGTCATAAATGTAGAGCTTAGATAATTAGTACGTTTCTTTAATATAAAAATTAGTTGATTAATTTGAGTAGATAAAAAAAACTAGTTAAATTAGTTATTTATAATAAATATATGTTGTTTTTTCTAAAATATTCTTGCTACTATTATTATAAGAACTATCTTAGTAAAAATTGAATAAATATGAAAGATAAAGTGGATTAGAGTGTTATATTTAGGACTAAAATAAAAGTTAAATAAACTTTTATATTAAAGACCGGATGTAGTACTTTGTAAAAATTAAAAAAAAATGGTTAAGTTCGTTATTTATAAAGATGTGTGTTGATTTATTAAAAATATTTTTTAATTATTTGTATTAAAAACCATCCCTTTAATTGTTGGCAAAGAAAACTATCCCTTTAATGAAACTGTTTTTAGTAAGCGCAATAAATAAGGATAATTTTAGTAGGAAGAAAAAGATAACTAAAAGTATTTATAAATTTATGAAATAAAATAAATTAAAATATTATATTTATAATTAAAGCAAACCTCTTGATCCAACTCTGAAGTACTTAGAAAGAATTACACATATACTAGGTTTCATGCTGAAATAGTAGGGAGTTTTTGGGTATATAAGCACTTTTATGTATAAAGCCTCCTCCAAATTCTTTCAAGAATATTGCATGGATCGACTCAAAATTGTAGAATTTAGTACTTGAAAATTAAATTAGATTTTTTTATATAAATCTATATATAATTAGAGGCGTAAAAAATTTAATACAACTAAATAAAACTGAAGACTGAAATTACATTTGGAAGCACTTATGCTTTCTTCCTGCGAAAGCACCGAATTAAGGAAGTTAAATCATGGAAGTAATCATTGTTGCCTTTACTCATTAATTAACTAATCCCTATGTTTTTAAAGTTATCTCAGTTAGTTTTAAAAAAATGTAAAAGTTAAAAAGCATAAATCAAGTCATTATAACCACATCAAACGTCTTTTTACAAAAAAAAAAAAGCATGAAGTTCTAAGTTTGAATATTCTATAAAAAAATCATGAGTGCGGAGTTATAGCAAAAATAAATAAAAATAAATAAATTAGTGTCATTGTGCTAATTGAGATTTTAATGGGCCACGCACAAATATAGTTGTAGCCTTGCAGGTCCTAAAAAGATAAAAACAGGAAAAAAAAAATTATACAGACAATAATAAACAAAGAAATTTGAACTGTACAGGGATTTTTTTTTAATTTTAAAAAAAATCAAGCACCTATTATTACTAATTATATTCAGATTTGAGCATTTTCTAACAAATAAAAGTACTTTTCATAACATAATATTTTTCATCCAAAATGATAAAAATTCTGAGATTTGTTTAAAATTTTAAATCGAGTACCCAATTAAAGTACTGATAGCCACAAATTTTCGTGAGTACAACGTTGTCTGCGTGGACATTAGTACGACAATATTATTCAGGTCAATGAAAAATAAAAATTTTAGATTATTCTACTAAATGAAATAAGTTTAAATTCGCACATAAAATTTGCAAACACTACAATTTTTTTAAAAAAATAAAATACATATTTAGTCTTTTAATTCTAATATTATTAATTTTTAATGACAATTCTTCGTGTTAATTATTTGTTATCTTAAAAATTAATTTTAATATATCAATATCAACAAATATTTTATCAATATTTAAAATTTTAATACTGACATTTTCTGAAATAAAATTAACGATACTAGAATTAAAATAATAAAAAAATCACTCCATAAAATTAAATATTAAAAATATTTACCAAACAAAAGACTACAAATACAAGTTTTACCTTTTAAAGAAGACAGATTGGAGTGACGTGGGATAAGGGGAAAACAATGTGTGTGTGCGCGCGCGCGCGCGCGTGACGTGGGATAAGGGGAAAAAAATGTGGGCGCGCGCGCGCGCGCGTGACGGGGGATAGGGGAAAAAACTTTTAATTAAATTCGCCCATCCTCGTGCTCCGCGAGGCACCAACCATATCGTTTCCTCTATTTATTTATTTATTTTTGCCAGCGTTTTCTCTATTTATTTAATTACAACTTATTTTTGTCTCTTAATTACAAGCAATCTTAATATACATATTTAATTCTCTACATTTTTTGCATCAAAATTTTCTAATTACAATATAATTACAATTGCATTATAATTAACAAGCGTATAGCTTGATCATGGACTTTTAGAACATAAGCAAAAAATTTAAAAAAAATCAATATTTTTAGAGAAATAATTATTGCATCGCTTTATAATTATAGTATTTAAGAGTTCTAAATAGTACTACAATTTTTTTTAATTTTTATGTTATAATGCCATAATTTTATTAATATCATTGTTTTCAATAATATACTCCCTCTGGTCATTTTCTATATGAGAATTTTTTTTTTGGTTTCCCTTGATCATATTTATAAGAAACAAAAAAATTTTGTTTGGAGTATTTATTAAAATTTTCATTTTATACCCTTATCGAAAAAAAAGTATCATTGATAAGATCAATTATTAAGTAAGGTCATTTTTTAAAATAAATTTGTATTTTCAACATATTTATTAATCCTAGTAACTTTACATTTTTCATCTTGTTGGTCTCTTATGAAAGGAATGGGAATTAATTTCACATATAGTTCCCTTATTTTTAACTATATTTGTCAAGGCAATTAAGAACGTGTGAGATTTTTTGCTTTGCCAACAAATTGTCAAAATTAGTTATAATGTTGATATAACTGAAATTCAAGTTTGTCCCCAAAACTAACGAAGACCACAAACTCACAAGTCACATCAATTTCATATATTGAAGAAAATAATGACTCTCTCCCCAGTTTATTAGAAACAAATGATTTTTGGCCATAGATTGTAAACATTTTATTAGTATTCGATTCATCTGTACTTTCATAAATTTGTCAAATTAAATCATTGTTCAATAGGAAGTTAAGCAATTTCGATAAATTATTAAACAGTATTAAGACGTCTGGGTAAGAGATTAAATAAAAAAGAATAAAGAAGGGGAAAAAAATGAAATGGTCACAGGCGAGGTTTGATTGTCATAATCATACAGCTGTACATAGTTTTATTTAATTAATTTAATTATGATTAAATTATATAAAAACATGATGACTCATCATATATTATCCTTTGAACATATATATATTTGCGTGTATATATTATTTCCGGTTCTTAATATAAGACCTCATTTGATTTTTATTTTGGTTTTAAATATAAGATCCCAATCTATTTTGTCTCTTATATTTATTTATTTTTTTTAAGACAGTCTTTGTAATAATAATGTTTTAGTCAATTCACTTAATTAACAAGGATATTTTAGAAAAGACAATATTTATTTATTACAAATACCTAACTTAACTAGTTTTTTTGATCTACTCAAATTAGTCAATCAGTTCTTATATTAAGGATCGGAGCTAGTATATATTAGCTGGGCATCATTAGGCATAATGTGGATCAAATTGGAGAAATCGTGGGTTGAAAGAGAGGGCTTTGCCTTAAGAGACACCCCAAACAAATTATTAATTATTTTTATATGTGTGCATTATGATTCAATAATTATATTTTTGTATTAAAGAAGTTTGGGAGAGCTAGATCGTAGAGAGTCAATATTTTTGTTTTAAAAAAAAAATTCTTATAAAAATACTTATAAATTACTTAAATCAATTTTTATATCGATACTTAATATTCTTACTCACATCGCGTGCTTACTTATAGAAAGACTTTCGTTGGCCTAATAACTACTTTTTTGATGTTATACGTATAATATAATAATTAGATATTTAAAAAAAAATTTGGATAGTTGGGTATTTAAAATATTTGCCCGTTTGTCTGTGTTCATGAGTGTTACGGATAGATGTTGGCAGTTTTTTCTTCTTCTCATTTTTGAGAAAAATATCTCAGGTTGTTAGGATAAAGTTTTGGGTTTAAAGTTTAAGTTGTGACATCAATAGCTAATTTAAAGAATAATAATTTTAATTATATAAAATAACAAAAAATTTATTAGGGCTTAAAATATAAACTTAATTTGTCAAAATACTAGTGGTTAAAATTTTTGTTGTCATTTCATATAATTAAAGTTATTATTTTCTTAAAGTGGAGTCGCAATTGAAATCAGAATCACCCCTTACATAGAAAACTCAAGCCAAACTTTTTTAAAATACTAGTTGTTATTGTTAAAAATTTTGTTGCTATTTTAGTGAAGTACTCCTCCGGTTTAAATATAAACCCTTATACTGTATAAAGTCTTATATTTAGGACCGTAAGTATTTTTCCCCCTCAAAATGACTCTCTTCCCAATAAATCTTGGGAGAATTGCAATAAATACATTCACCAACAAAAAAATTTCATGACAACTAAACAGCTTGTAATAAAAAGTTCTAAAATAGAAAATAATAAAATGTTTCAACTATTCACTTGTTATTGAGATTTTTAAATGATTTTTTTTTTTGAGATCTCATAATAATTCTTCATAATTCTTTGGTGGCCGGCAACAAAGAGAATCTATTTTTACATACAAGGGCGGTATTGTGCTTGTTTGGGATCATGGTGGAAATTCTTTATAAGCACGTTTCACGTAAAGTAAGAAAATTTTTATTACATGCTTGTCTCATATTTAGTAAATTACTATTAAAAAACTACTTATAAGTTATTCCAAACGGACCCATTATCATTTGACTTAATTCCAAACAAATCTCTAAAGACTCCAGAAAAAGGCCATTTAAGGTTGATTTTTGCGGCCCACAAGGTTAGTAAATGGATGGGTTGGTTAGTAAAATAAGTGAGCCTGTTTTGAGATGAGTTTTTTCAGCATGTATTGGCCAGCCAGAGGCTAATTTTCTTTATTTTTTTAATTACAACTTTTTATTTTAATTGTAATAAAAGAATTATTATTTTGCCCTCAATTGAAGCACAACCTTATTTTATGAGAGGAACTTATTCAAGGTATGATTTTTTTCTTTATTGATTTATTATTTTTATATTAATAGAATAATTATACAAAATACATGTGTTTATTTAAGGACCATACTCACATCAAATTTTTTTATGCCCGTTATACCAAGTTTTTCAATCACACATGACCTTATATTTTATTTTTTATCATATATATTTATAATTAAATTATAATATTTCAAAAATAGGATACATGACTGTGTGATTAGATAACTTTGATATTTTTATTTAATTATATCAATCTATGAAAATAAAAAAATCAGTTTGAATTTAATCTATTTAAATTTATGATTTAATTTAAAATTTTAAATAAAAAAATTGGAAATAGCACAAGACAGGCCTTTTCTTGCCCCGGGCGCTAAAGACTAGTGGAGGCCCGCCAACCCTTCCCATGATATGTATAGCCAACTGATCTTAAAACAGGCTTACTCTAGCCCGCCCCCCTTAAGACTAGAGGAGGCCCAACATTACCAGCTCTACGTCTTTCTCCCCATCAAATTCCTTCAATTCTCACAATCGTGTTCAGAGGCTTTATCCTCAACGTTTCTAATTCAATAGAAATCAATCTCAAACCCTGACTTGAAAATATTATACCCAAAAAAGATATACATATATTCCTCCAACCCTCCGAAGCTGGAACAATGAACTAAACCGAAGCCCGACTTGAGGAACAATTAAGACAAAGGTCACAAGAGAATCAAAAGAATCAGATTTTTCCAAAAAGCAGGACATTCAGTCACAGATCTTCAGGCCAAAAAAGAAGTCACAGATCAATTTTGAAAATCCTGTATACTTTTCTTTTTCGCATTTTCTTAGAATTCATTCTCTAAATCTACTTAGATCTAATCTTAGTCTAATTGTACAAAAGATTGGGGAGGTCAATATCTTCATACAGAATGTACATACAATAAAAATCTATACAAAATTACATTAAAAAACCAGCATCAACAGATCTGCTGTGTACATTTCCTGTAATAAAAATTGACTGTAATAATTACCATCAGCAATTCCTCTACCCGTCAATCAAGAAAGTATCCGGCCGAGACATCTGTTGATTCTGCAACTTGGGCTGCTTCGGCTATTCTAATTAACACTGTGGCCTTGTAAGTTGCCAAATCAGCGTTCTCCATGAGAATCTGGGCTCTTTTGCGTTTCAGTATTGCTAATTCCATGGATTTGTCTGCAGAAGCCTTAGCCTCTTCAACTCTGAGCATGGCATTCTTTTCTTCCAAAGCATCTTGTTCAGCTGCAATTGCTGTAAATGGATAGAGAAGATGAGACATAGGTTTATGACAAATAGATGCCTGCAATGTAAATGCTAGTCAGGTAAAACCACAAGATGGGAACAAGATCATATCCCAACACCAAACAATATACGCATGGTAGGCTCAAAAAATAGAAATGCATAAAAATAAAACGTTCAAACAGCCAACCAAACAAGACATGCAATCAAACAGCCTTTGCAGCTGCAAAGGGTATGTTCGGGTCAGACAACAATGTTTTATATCTCAGCGTAAACAAAAATTTACGTTATAAAAATTCAACATCAATCATACTGTAAGGGGAGGAAACAAGACAATTTCTAGACCAGTGTGGTCCAATAACAGCACATCTAAAGACGATAATTCAACATCAGTCAACCAGTGACAGAAACAACCCTCAGTCCATCTTATAGCTTGAAACGTATTAAATACCTTGCAGCACACTTGGTTGTTTGCCTCTACCAAATTGACTTGGTTGTCTCTTAAATGACCTCCTCTTCCTTAGCAAAGGCTTTGGTATAAGCGGGGCTTTCTTTGTTTGATGACCCTGTCCGCAAGACATTATCCAGCCAAATCAGATAATGAAGTAGAAGAGCAGTTTAAAACACCATTTACAATCAGGGTTCCAACTTTAAAATACGATCAATAACTAAGACGAAAGAGGAAGTGAGGAGAAAAGCAACTTCTGTAGAACCAATTTTCCAATTGACTCAGTAGAAACCTATCAGTAAATAACCAAACTGTACCAAAGACCCAGTGCGCTTAAAATGTACAGCACCATGCAGTGGAGCTTTCACCCAACCAAAAAAAAAAAAAAAATCATTCTTTAGCCTAGAACTTGTTTCCGCTCTCATGGTTTTAAGTGTGTTGTTCAACCCTCACATAACAGTGGTAAGCACATGAACTGTCATTTAACGGTTTTAGTTATGAAATTATATTTCGCTAAGTAAAAGCATCTGGACACTCAATTTCTGAGATACAGTGAAAAACTTTTGACTATAAAATTTCTCCATTTTTAGCATTGAGGTCATTGTTTCTATAAATGTCTGGATACAAGATGCCAACTTCGTAGCAACACATACCAGAAAAGGGTTGAACTTGAACACTATAAGGAACAAATTAATTAAGGATCAAACTACACATAAGTTGTATCTTACCCAAAAAGAAAGTTGTCCTTTGTCTTCCTTTCTTAGGTTTGTAATTCTCACAACATTTTCCCCTCTTAACTTCCCGTCAACTCTTGTTAGATTATATAATCCTTAGGTTGTTCTAAAGTGAACTATTGAGGCATAATCAAAATCACTGGCTTGAGTTTCCCCTTCCCAGCAGAACAGGCTTCAGGCACACCATAACAAATGCACTGATGTATCAAACAAATTTACATAGAACGGTTGCATCGGCTAAAGTGATATCATCCCAAAAAAATTTAAATATTAAAAAAAAAAGGGGTATGAAAACCTTCAACTGACACAGAAACAAGAAACATAATACCTACAGCCTCAAATCACAGTTCAGAGACACAGGCTCCAGGATGTAATTACATATACAATAATACTTGTCCATGTAAGCAAATTTTCTATGCTGATGTGAAAATACAAATAATAATCCTTAATTTGCACAGGCCCTAAATTTTTCCCACCACTGCTGACAAAACGAGATGGCAACAATAACATCTACAATGCGATAGATACCATAAAACCATCACGGATATACTCTCTGCAAGGAATACATCATCTGAAACACAAGGCAATTTTACCTGGAAAACCCTAAGCAGCAATGAACGTTTTTGCTTCCGTTTTTTCATCCAATAACTATGTACAGCTTCCAAAACTCCATTGGTACCCAGATCCCGAAAAAGATTGGCAGGCAATTTCTCATCAGAAAAATCATCAGGATTACAATAATAAGCCTTCTCTAAAGCATCAATCATTAGCTCAAAATCATCCTCAGAGACGTGCTCTTGAGACTCATTATTGAGCTTTTTCAGCCATTCCTCATCTTCAGAGTCCATGTCATATATTGCAGTCCTCTTGGCCAAAGCTCTAGATAACTCATCACCATCATTCATTGAAATATAGTTATCTGGTCTGTGAAAGGTAATACTATTACTGTCTGCATAGCCAGAGACTTCACGCACACCTGGTACTGGAATGAATTTGGCAACAGGAGCTAAAATATTGCGATCAGAGCACTCTTTATAAAGATTTTTAAAAATAACCCAGTCCTGTCGCCTATCAAACTCTAGCTTCCAACCATTGTCCAATGAAAACATTATCACATGGGTGAACCGATTGGAAGAGCTGGGTCTCATAACTTTTTCTGCCCTGAAAGTGCATCTTGCCAAACCATCTTTCCTTACAGTGAGAAGCCAGTCTTTGGAAGTTGACATTTCAAGAGTAACTACTACTCCCTCTACCCTGTAACATTTGTCTGACTCCGTGACTAATAGATTAGCAGAACATAGAGAGGAATCCAGGTCTTCAATAGAATCAACCATGGAAGAACTAGTCTCTTTAACGCTTCCAGGGGAATAGCTGTGAACCAAACTTCTTAGCTTCCTCCTTGAAGCTACCCGAGTCAAAGGAGTGTTGTTTTTCCTGCCATCCCCTAAATCAGAAGCCAACGCCGCATGAGTTTTGTGCACACCCAACAGCGAAGGATTTCGAGCTTTCCTTTTCCTAAGAGAACTTCTCCTCCTCTGAATTCCTCTAGAATTTGAAATATTTCTGTATTGTCCATTTCGGCCAGCTATTCTGGAACCCCTAGCAGGTGCGTGTAACAACAAATTGTCCTTGATTTCAACGCCATCAGAAGTGATCGCTACGCTCCCAGCAGGTGCTCTCTTGACAGAATGGCATGAATGCTGCTGTTCACTCTCAAATTCTTGGCAATCGCTATCCATCTCATCGTCACTATGCACACTAATTAAATTATTTACAAGTAAAAATGACCTAAAAAAAGATCTCGAAAGCATTGCAGAATGCAAGTGCGTGAAAGAAAGGGGGACGGCAGAGAAATCCACACTGAACAAGGGGTCAAATCCTGTGATCCCAAAAAATTTGCATATTCCAATTTTCGTAGTAGGCGGTCCCTGAAGCAGAGAAAAACAAGAATTAAAAAAAGAAAAGATAAAGTGCCACCCTCCGGACAATAAATAACTAAGCAAAACTTCAATATTTTGATTACGTGTTCCATCCAATTCATTCGAGTAAAAAAAGCCATGAAATTGGCTTACCCAAAACACCACATTTGCAAGATGGCAAAAATTTTGTTTGGCCGATGAAATTGCATTAGTACAGATGTAACATAAATCAGATCATCAAGCAAAGCTCGGGAAAAATTACCTGTAGGAATTGTATACCATGGGATGCATAGGCACCACATAAGGGCTCAACAAGAATAAAGGCCGAGAGATCCTTAAATGTCAACCCAACCCGCCGAATGTACCTAACACCAGAGCCAGGAAAGACGAAAGCCAATAACTGTTGTCACAAGAAGGCCTCACAACAACAAAGCACACTCTGATTCTCTTCACTGAGCTTCCTTCGTTGCCGACGAGAAAAATGCAAGCCCCACCTCTTATTATCTTTCAGACTTTGCTTGGCCCCTCCGTCAGCTGAAAAGTCTGAACTTTCGGCGACAGGTATCTTCCTTTTTCTACTATATACAAGACGACACATTTTACTGGGGACATTTCTGTCGCGTAAAGATCTCCCTTCTTTCACTGACTTCGTCTTCTTCGCACCAGAGTCTGCATGTTTTCCTATAAGTGCGACTTCTTGCCTTCTTTTAACAACTCCACGAGGCCACGCGTCGCCTTTCCCAGGAGTCTTGACCGGCTTCAGCCACTCATCCGCATCGTTACCCCTCCTGATCTTCCCCTCATCGGATTCCGGCCAAAGGCACCTCCCGGACCTCAAGACCCTGGCAGAGTCAGCTCCCTTGACGACTCCAAACACCCTCGTGGTTCGTCTCATCCCAACCGCCGGCATTGCCGTACGGTTTCCAAAAGACACAACTCGAGACTCGATCTTACCTAGGCTTCTGGGTCACCGAGTCGAAGCTGAGTTGACTCACAGTGAAGAACACAGGACAAAAATCGAACCCGGCGGATTCCCCAGCGCCTAATTGTCTCACATACACTGAAAACAACGGAAAATCAACCCACAGACCAACTGTTCCAAAATAAATCGGACCCGAAATTTGACCCGAACAAACCGTATGGGCTAAGCGCAGAGAGTTATTAATATATAGTGACAGAGAAGAGCCGCCATGGCAGCGAATATCAGAATCTTCCCCGGAAAAGTAACACAAGGATCGAGTCAGATATAAATCAAAGACTTCCAAGAAAATAGAGGAAAAACAGTAAGATAGGTTCAGAATCGAAAGAAGAAGCGAATCGCATAGTGAGATCTGCTTGGGATGAGGAGAGAGAATAGAGGATCGAAGGAGCTGTGGCCGCAAAGAGAGAGAAGAGTGGAAGAGTATCGGCTAGGGTTTATGATTTTAAAACCACTGAGGAAGATGGGGGGTAACCACTCACCGACTAATAAGATCCGTTGGATAAATGAATGAACGGACAAGATTTGGTTAAATTCCCAAACAGGTCGATGGCTGCGAAAAGCTTTTTGCGCTTCAGGGCTAAAAAGCATAGAGGGAGAGAGGGAGGCCGATGATATTTTAGGACACGTAAGAGCGAAATTGGGGTTATGAAAAGACCGATTTAGCCTTGAGGAGGATGCAGCACGTCAGAGCCCAGGGATTTATATATAAATATTTTTTTATTTTTAGAATTCGTCCTAAGTTGCTATTAAAATTTCTTAATAATTATTTTTTTAGACCTCGTTGTAATACTTTTTTTTTTATATTTTCGTGGGAGAATATGTTGAGCAGAATTTTATTATGGAATTGTAAAGGATATTTACTTTTTTAAACTAATCAATTTAAAAATTTTACAAAATTTTCTTTGGATTTTATAAATAATAAAATTTTGAACAAAAATAATTATTTTAAAATTACATTAAATAAATTTTTGAAAAATGATATGATAAAGTAGATGGGAGAGAATACTATCTTTCTGTACATAAATAATCACATCCCAAAATTTATAACAAGAGAATTTGAAAATATAAAACAGTGTCATTTTAATTATTTGTCACTTTTTGTGAAACTTTTCAGTGGATGATTTAGCTAGCACAAACATAATATTTCTAGCATGAGATAATTTAAAGTATGAAAACAGAACTTTTATTTTTCCATTACATAAAAATCAATTTAATTATAAAAATAAATGCAATAGGACAAACAATAATAATTCAATATCCAAGCCGAACAACATGTTTTATAAAATCACATTTAAAAAGAGTTCTGAGAAGAAACGGATATCCAAAGAAATAATATAAATGGCTGATGCTTGGTTTCTTTTGATTTATAGCAAAAACGAAAAAGAAAAAGCGAAAAAGAAACAAAATAAAGCTGAGAAAGTTTATATGGAAATTGAGCGGAGTGAGATGTTGCGAGGCAACACGACACGGACGCGCCATGCAAAATATGGTTTATCTAGTTGGATTTTCAAAAATAAGCATGGGTATTTTGGTCAACATGGGAAACAATCTTTCTCTCTTCCCCAAAAATGGGGGGAACAAACAAAGAAAAGAAATGTCACTTTTAGAGGAAGCGGAGAGATTAGAGAGGCTAGAAATTGCCTAATGTCCCCTCCATTTTTTCCAATAAAAGTTAATCAAAAAATTTATTTTGATTATAAATATAAAAATTTAGTTTATTTTGTTTATAAAATTTATAATTTTTTTAAACTATCTATATCAGTTACAAATAATTAAATAATATAATTTATGAAAATAAATACACATTTTTTATACATAGCTATCTTAACTAATTCTATTAATTTTTATAAGTTAATTATTTAATTCTTATATTGACAATTAAAGTTAATAGCATATATATAATAATAGCTTTAAAATTCAAGTGAACAATAGACTGAGTGATGAGAGTATAAAATTGGGTGAAAATAGTAATCAGGATTTCAAACTCTTCTGACGTCATAAGAGCGACAAAAAAAATATTAAGCTGGCAATAACAATTACAACAAACAAAATTACTTTCATAAATTCCCCCCTCCAAGAATGCCACATATGATACCCCTAAACTTGAGTTATTTCAATAAAATACCATTAAATTTTGCCACGATTTATATTTGGTATTTTTTTAATTTATGTATATGATTTTAAAGGATATTTTTGGGCTAGAAAAATAATTTGTATATAATTATTTGGTCTCTAATACTATTTATTTATTTTTTAACTCAAATTTCTAACATTATTTAGCTAAATTTGGGCGTGGCTGGGTGCTAGCCTAACTAAAGCAATTATTAAGTTCTGGATCTTATTTAAGAAAAATGCATTAGTAAAAAGAAATATCGATTATTAAAAAAACACTATGAAATATCTAATTAAAAATGTTAATATTTCTTTTAAAAAAAAAGCTAAAAGGTCTTTGGTGGTCATATTATTTTATTGACCTCATAATGATTTTCTACACATTTTTATCAAAACCCTATAAACAGTAAAAAAATTTTTTTACCTAAATACTATAGGGTGAAAACTATTTATCAAAATACTACATTGAAAATTATTCACACCTAGAAAAATTTTAATTTTATAAAAAAATCTTTCTTATCAATAATGATTTTACTTTTAATTTAATCTCTCCTTCTATTATATCACTTCATCATTGTGACAATTTTATGTTTTTAATTAAAAAAGTGAAATTACTCATGCCAGCAATAATTTCAGTTTTTTTTCCTCACTTTCCCAATTTAATGGCATGAGAATCAAAAATTATTTTTCTTCTGCTCACTCAAATCCCTTTACAAATGCATATTCAATTTTTGTTAACTATACACTGCACTGAATTTTTCTAGTAATTCAATTTAATCTTACAGAAATGATTTTAGCAATTCTTTATATATACACACACATATAGGGGAAGGCAATGAAAAGTAATAATTATAATAAAGCATAATTGCGCCATACTGTAACTGGGCGGAAGAATAATTTGGTCCCAATCCTATTAAATTAAATAATGTAATATCCTCAACTTTGACCATTTGACGCAACTTATAAATTAATACATAATCAAATGATACACATGAATATTTAAAAAAAATGTCATGTAACATGTACTACAATTAAGTAATTTTTTAAACTCTTTTTAATTTTTTCAAATTAGCTAACTATGTTTTATATTAAGAATTAGAGCTAGTATAAATTAAGGGGTTAACATATTTTTTAACCTCTTGAGTTTGTCATTAGTTTGGTTTTAGTTCCTCGAGTTTCAATCTATAGATTTTGATTCTTCAAGTTTCATTCTATCTAAAACACTGGTCCCAATAATTTAATAAAAGCCTGGATCATTTTACCCCTTAAAAAACTAATACTTATAGTTTGAAATTTAAAGAACCAAAATCAAAATGAGAATAAATATGAGGAACCAAAAATTGTGTTAACACTAAATTAATCTTAAAATTGTTTTTTTGTACAAAAAATGTTCTTTGTTAATTATACATTGCCTGAAATTTTCTATTAGTAATTTAACTTGATCTTGCAAAAATGATAAAAAAATATTACTATTTTTTATTTTTAATATATAAGTTAAATAACAAATTTGTTAATACCTCTCATGCTATTCACTATAAATGTCAAAAAGTGACATCATTCAGTATGAATGATCTCACTTTTTTTGCTTAAAAATATAATTGTCAAAAGTGATAAAATGATATGACGTAGGAAGAAATTAAAGTGAAAACAAAACCGTTCTTAGCATAAATAAATTTTTTGCTTTTAACAGGAGTGCTGTCTTTATAAATTAAAATCGTTTTTGACATAAATGATTTATAATATAAAATCTTTTACTGTTTATAGGTTTGTAATAAAAATAAAAATGCCTGACTTTCTCCCCTTTTTTTTTTCCCCAGGAAAAGATAACTACTACTTAGTACTACCAAGCAAAAAGACTGATCCTCTGCCAAAACGCGGGATCTTCTGCGTTGCGTTTTCACGAGCACGAGCGCCAAACCCTTCAGAGAAAAACGCCGGATGCAAGCGAATCTGCAAATTTCTATAAGCAATACAGAAGACAGAGGAGTGGGCTGCGAAGGAGCAGAGAAGAAACGCAGCGAGTGATCCAGAGAGTAGGAATTAGGAACGAACCAAGAAGACGATTTCGTCCGCAGTTAAATCTCTCCTCTCTTTCCCTTCAACTTCCGTTGATATCTAGTTCTTCTTCTTTTTTTTTGGCATTTTAAGATTTTCTACCGGAAATTTTTGTGTTGCACAAACCTTTATCTTTCGATTAGCTTTTGTTGTTGGGGAGGTGGTTCTTGATTGAATTTGTAGAAGCATTTCACTAACTTTCTTTGTCATTTATCGGGCTCTTCGTGTTTTTTGTTAAAAATTCAGGTTGACAGGCATATATGGGTGATAGACAAGTAGTGGAGCTGCAGCACCCAGTTGATCCTCCATTGCCCTCTTCGCCTCCTTCGAGGGATGATATGGTTGCTTGCGTGATGGCTTTGGAGGCTGCTTTGCTTCCTTGCTTGCCTGCTAGAGAACTTCAAGCAATAGACCGCTCTCCCCACCCTTCACATCAAAGTGAGTAATTTTCTGCTTGTTATCAGGATTGTACCATTTTCACTCAGTGTTAACAGCCCAACTATGTGAAATTCTTCATTCTGATGTCTCAAGTAGGAAGTTAGGCTAATGACTTTCAAAGTTTAAATAATTCCCTTGGTATTCTAATTCATCGGATGTTTTCTTTCACATCGTTTTCAATAATAAATTGGGTTGCTAGCAGGCTAGCAATGGCTAAGTTGTCACATGTACCATACAGAAATAACCATTTCAATTTGTTTGTGAAGTAATTAAATTGACTCTCTTCTAATTATACTAATTAAGTTGACCCTGTTAAGCTAATGCTAGTTAAGTCGAGAAATTGTGAGGATTGTTAATGGGCCACGTTTTCATTTAAATACTTTCTTATATATGCTTTGGCTGAGAGAGAGTTTATGAGTCTGTACTCTTAGCTTCACTAAAGGCAACGTAGTCACAAGTAGTGGTCTTGTTGCAAATACTGCATCAGGGGAGTTTCAAAAGCAACCACCATATGAAATGTTCCCTGTGCAGTGAATACCCACACAAGGGCAGGATGTAATTTTTTTTTTTTTTAAACACTGAATGGTTTGCCGGGGCCCTTGTTTCTTGTGTCAGATATCTTGTAGGGTCCTATATACAACAACAAGTCTTATTTCACAGGATGTAGTCGGCTACAGAGATTGCATAATGATTGTGATTTATTGACAAACAACTATTTAGATATATCATTCATCTAAATGCCCTGCTTTGGGTCTTCTTTGTGGCCTTCATTTACCTCTCTTTACATTCATCAAAACGTGCTTTGCTCATAATGCATCCTAGCATAGTGTGCTCGCCATCTAACCTATTTGATTCTTTTTCCTTTGGACATTGTTTGCAGTTGACGTAGAGAGGCATGCCAGAGATTTTATGGAGGCTGCCAAGAAGCTTCAACTTTATTTTATCAGCCTGCTGCGTGAGAGTCAACCGTCAAAAGCTGAAATGCTTAGAAAGGTATCTAGTACACAGAAATAGGCATTGTGCAAAGTGCTCGTACTTCAGCAAGTTATTGAGATCCTTATACATTGGCATCCAAACTTGAAAGTTTTGTGATATCTTGTCTAAAGCAGGAGATTGCTGTGATGGAAGAGGAACTTCAGAGAAAAACGGAGCTGATTAGAAAGCAAGAGAATCTAGTTCAGGGGTGGAGAAACGAGTTAAAAGATCAGCTGGACAAACACAGTACTGAGTTGGACAGAGTATAGTGGAAAATTACGCTTATCTCTTTACCTGGGGACAAAAAAGTGTATCTTTTAGATGTTTGTTATCAAGTTCTATTCATTGGGGGAACAAACATGAATATGTTATTACAGTTTAGCTCTGAATGATTTGATCTTTTAAGACAGTTCCTCCACATATTTTGTTGTTACTGAAGAAGCTGATAGCAAGCATGTTTGCCACCCCTTATCGTTTGGTTCAACCTACTAATCTAGCTTTTCACCAAGAATGGACTCCGACCACGTTTTCATTTCTTGATCACACTTTGTTAAGTTGTTCAGGATTGGCCAAATTATCACCGGTGTTACCTTAGTTTGTGATAGGCAGAAAAGCTACGGGAAAAACAAAATTTGAGGAGATCACGTCAGACGGAGAACATGAAAGTAGGCAGAATTTTTCTGGAAAATTTTTTGAATTGGAAAAAGCTACTCCTTTCAATCCACAATATAAATTATTTCTAAAAGAATTTTTCGCTTCATTATATAAGTTACTTGCAGAATTAGTGCTTATTTATTAATTTTAATGCTTAAGTGTGATTTTTTTATATTTTTTTACTCTCTCAAAATCTCATTTAATACGAGATGTTGCAACGGGATCACACCCGTCAAAAGGCTTGAGCAGGAGCTAACCTCGGCTTTGAGTTCCCTACGAAGCCCATTGTTGCTGCAGCAGCCTCACGGTGAAGGACCCCACAAAGCGTGAGGGGTCCACAATGGGGGCCACTTCATAAAAGCTGCATCCTCATATTTTGGGCTTAATTGGGTTCTGTTGTGGGTTACAGGGATACTGTTCAATTTCACTCACGTAATGTCTGGCCTCCTAGATCAATGGAAGCTACGTTTTGACGTTCCTTTGGCATAGAGGTAATAAGTTCTTACACGATATTAAAAGTTTAAACAGTTGGCAAGACGCTGGTTTATAACCCATAAAGCTGTGAATTCAAATTTTGTTGTTAATGTAAGAAATTTGTTAGTAAGTGATTTATAAGCATCTCTTTAAGCTTGGAGGCATAACCGGTTTTAGTAAGTCTTCGGAATCCAATTCACCTAAATTTTTATTGTAACAAAAAAAAATTTTAAAACCAAAATTGCCTATATTTAATATACAAGGTTTCATTTTAAAAGAGATTTTTAAAAAATCGCTTTGATAGTTCAAACCCAATAGGAGGAGAAATGGTGAAAGCAACACATATTTTTGGAACTTGAGGAGTTTTCATAAGATAAGTAAAGTAATTTGATTTTTTTTACTTAAGCAATTTATATAATTCAATGAGCCTAAAAGGGAAAAGAAGAATCCTTAGAGCTATACATGCAATTCAAAATCAAAAGAAGCATAGGATTCCAATTTCGAGAAGTGGTTGGAGAAAAAGAGAGAGGAAGAAAGAAAGATCAAATTGATCATTGTACAAAGTTGTTTCCCAACTATTTCCATTTTCGATCCGCCCAAACCTAAAATTGTTTTTCTTTAAAATGAAAACTTTCTAGTGGACCAAAAATAGGTGCCATTTGCTAATAGCTTTAGGAGGACCAGAAGCTTCCTAACTCAATTCACTGCCATTTACAATGTAATCATAATATAACATGGAGCCTGACACGATTTCCTGTACATTGCATAATTACTGGAATAAATCATACGGTTGATGGCTTATGGCTAGTTCCATTTCTTATAGATTTTATATTTTATATTAATGATGAGTATATAATTTTATCAGAAGATAAACACGCATGTTGAAGCATTTATAAATAATCGAGACGAAGTGAAATTTTGATTTAACAGGTTTCATCCAAGGGATAATGTTCTTGAGACTCTAAGTAGCATCATGCTTCATATGGCAATGGGGAGAATTTTAATTTCAAGAGATATCATGAATAAAACATGCTCACAAAATGAGATGTGGTCTCTGAATTAATGATGTGATGCCACACTTATCTATGAATGTAGCCAGTGAATAACGAAATTGTTCTAGTGCAAATTAAATTATTGAGAGAAACTATTAGAAATGAGATGAAAAACCTGACGTCCAAAAACAAACTTAATTTTAAGGGATGTTTGGTAACTCTCAAAAGCACTTTTAAAAAGCACTTTTTTGCAAAACGAGGTAACCTCCTCTACATATTTACTTCGTAAACTGTAAAAACACTTTTAAAATCATAGTTTGGTTTCCATCCAAACACCTCCCTAGATCACTAGATTTAGAGGTCAATTATAGTGGCGATCACTCAGCATATTCCAGCACAGAGCACAGTGTCTTAATCCAGGCACTTATTGTGCAAAACAAAGTAATATTAATCAGTATAAAATCTAGGAGGGAAGTAGTACACTACAAGCATTGTGTTCTACTTTTAAATAAAAGAATTGTTCACCGAGTCTAGTATACAATCAATTGTAATCCTTCAGTCTCTTCTTGAGTGTGTCCATGGATCTCTTTCTCGCGCTTGTTTTCGTGTTTTTATTCGAAAGGCTTCCGAATATCCCATCAGGAGAATCCCTAAACTTGTCACAAATCAGAGAGACTCTCTTGTGATCCAAGGCATAGTAGTTTCTCTCTCTTATCACAGGATTCATGAAGTTCTCAGGCTGGCTACTCAACAAAAGATTCAACAGTTGTCTTGCTTCTACCAAACATCCCTTGAAACTCCCATCTTTGTAAATCTCACTCAACCCAGAAGCATGAAACCTCTCATCAGCAAAAGCCTCTAACATTTTAACATCATTGTTGATGCTTATTACAGCAGTTTCATTAAATCTCTTGACACTATCACTGAGGAAAGCAGCCACCATAGAGTTAGAAATATGCTCAAGTGCTTCACTCCCAACTTTGTACATAGCATCCAATGGTAGCATCTGTTGTGCTGTAGACATAAGAGAGTCAAGATAATATATCACTTCATTCACATAGTCATTACCATTCTGCTTTATTTCTTCTGAAGTCCAATTTATTTTCTCCATCAGAGCCATATATTCATCTATCTTTGAAATGACCAAACTCAATAGAGCAAGATAAGCTGCATCCCTTGAAGTCTTGAGCACCACTTTTGCAGTTAAAGCAATCTGAGGTTTCAAACTGCGAACTGGGATTCCACATAGATATGCCACGTGTCTAAGGAAGAAATCACAAGCTCTTTCAAGAGCAGCTATGTTTGCAGCTATCTGCATTGCTTGAGACACACTGATATTGCCACTGTTAATAGTATCAAGCAATATTTCATTCAATACATCAATCAAGAACCTGTCCAAATATTTCCTAGCAGCATCAAATAAGCTGGCATTTATACCATAAGACAAGTAATCAACAGAGCCTTTAATGTAGGATCTCACTATTCGACAAGTATCAGGTACCATGGAGGAGAAAGGAGCAACATAGGGAAAAGCCGGCATGATATCTGTGGTTTGAAGATTAAATGATAGAACATTGTTCTCATAGTCACTTACTTTCTTTATAACCATTTGATCATATGAGTCGTTGGCAAGGAGATCAAGAATTTGCTTTCGACATTCTCCCAAAAGAATCCCATGATATTTCTCACAGCTGCTATCAAGAACCTCAAGAAGAGGACCAACTTCATATCCATACTGTCTCAGAGTGGATACCAGGAGTGTCACATAATCCTTCACCAAGAGAAGATGTGTAGCAGAACGCATAATTGAGAACTGTTTCTCTAAAACCGATGTGATTTTCGCTGAAGCAGTCTCCCACATTGTTTCAACCTGATCTGGGACTAATAGTCCACCTGCAGTTCTTAGGACTCTGTCCTCTACCATGAAGTATCCTACAATTTGAGCCAAATATGCCTGGTGTGAATCAACAAAAGATTGTGCTGAAGATATTTCCAGGTCTGAATTCAATTGCAACAACCTATTCTTATAGTAGTATTCACGAAACTGCTCTCTAAGGCCTAGACAATCGTGTATATGGCAAGCACGATAAAGAGGCGTGAGATCAAACTTGACAACAGAATCCTCATCAGCTTCCTCAACCTCCAAGCTATAAATTTGATCCTCTGACCCAGAGTTCTCCTCAGCCTTCCTTTGTCTTTCCAGCATTTCTTCATCCTTTTGGCGAACCGATGCAGCATGACTGATCACTGTTTGTCCAATAGTTTTAGCAGAACTCCTTAAATGTACCAACCATTCATTGACTTGGCTACATACTTTCTTCTCAACGTGAGATTTTATCACAGGAATCCTCAGTTCTACCACTTTCTTCAGAGCCTTTGCTGGGATATTCTGCAGATAATTCTTCTCAAGCAAATCCACAGTCTTCAGTGCAGGATAAAACTGGCCATTAGATATGTGATTGTTACACTTGACGCAAAGTTCCAACACCTGAATACAATACTTTGACATCTTTATAGCTTCAATCACATTCTGCTTGACGGAATAAGATTCAAAAAGGTCCTCAAGGTTCACAAGAATGCTACTTCCAACCTGCTGTAACTTGAAATTATCACTCTGAAGCTCACTCTTGAGTTCTTCAGCATCAACCAACACGCCTCTGAGCTCATCCACTGCAATAATGAAGTCCTCATAGTGTGTCTTACACATCTCCTCTATTTCAGCCTCCTTCTTCTTCACTACATGTTTCAATTGGTGAAGAAGACCCTCAGGACGCCCCATTTCAAAGGCGTGCCTGACAAGAGGACCAAGATCTTCTCCATTTCCGATCAAAGTCGCTAGAACCAAGTCCTCTCCCTGTCCAGCATCACCATTCTCTGTCGCAGTTCTCCTTTTTCGCCTCTCCATTTGCACTTTGATATTCTAGGAATCTGCAAACACTCTTCTTAAGCACGGCCAAAAAACAAAAGCAACCTTTTCCGCACACAAAAGTAGTATTAAGATGATAACAGTAAACTAATAATTAGCTCTAGAACTATAAAGGTTATCTTTAGTTTCTGCACAGTGTATAATAATTCAGCAGGGACCAAGTTTATCAGTGAAAGTAGGGGATAAGAAAAAGGCCAAAAGAACTGCCCACACATAAATTTATATCCAGAACCGAACACCATAAAAAGATCCACGTGGAAGAAATTAAAAAAGAAAAAAGGCAGATTTACCGGAACAAGACATCCCAAAAGAGAAATTGACAGGAACAAACTAACTAACCAAAACTGGAGATAAATTCAATCGCAAGGTAGTGTGTGGATAACCCAAGAGAAAGAAATAGGCCGAATGGGATCAAACAAACATACCTGGGCTACGTGAGAAATCCCCAAAGGAACAACATGGAAAATGCACACCAAGATTAGCCCTTTTTCATGTTTGATTCCAGAAAAGAACAATGGAATCCAAATGTTGTTAGCACTAGGAATGTTGGTTTGGGATTGGTGACGAAATTTCCGAAGGGCCGGTACGAGTGTGGAGAATGTCACGTAAGGACAATAGCATGGGGAAGGCAGCCTGGTAACGTATCAGCGACCTCTTCGATGTGATTCTCCCATTCACTACTCGCAACCCAACCTCCATACGTTGTTTTTAATATTTTCATTAGCTACTTCTGGATTCAATATTGGATCATTCGTTGGAACAATTCAATGACGACTAAATTAATAGAAAGACAAAAAAAAAAACTATGATTTTAAAAAATTAATAAATATTTTACAATTTAAAAGTTAAGATATAAATAAGTATGTGATATTATTTTTTTTTTTACTTTTATTGTATACATTTATTTTATAATTTCCTAATGGACACGCATTTCTTGCACTTTTTTTTGGCAGTTTTTCTTCTCTAATGGTTATAGTTAACATTAGATATACACAAAATATATATTATAACAACAGTATAAGGTGCTAAAATACTACATCCAGTCTTTAATATAAGATTTCGTTTGACTTTTATTTTGATTCTAAATATAAGACCCCAATCCATTTTATCTCTCATATTTATACATTTTTCCCAAGGTAATCCTTCTAATAATAGTAGTTCTAGCCAATACACTCGATTAGCAAGAATATTTTAAGAAAGACAATACATATTTATTACAAATAACTAATTTAACTTATTTTTTTAATCTCCTCAAATTAGTCAATTAGCTTTTATAATTAGGACGGAAGGTAGTATTTTGTTATTTGATATAAGAGATGATATAATATACAAATTTTTGTAAATAGACGTGCATTCTCTAAATTGAGTAGTAAATTTTTTTATTTTTTTATTTTTTTTTCTTATAAATTTAATGGGGGAATATAAGATTTAAGAACTACGAATGGTTGGTTTAGTTCTTTTTGTATTTAAGGCATCATCAAGTAACATGGGTGAATATTAATGCTGTCAAAAAATGCTTAAGAAGTGAGAAATCAATGTCTCTTATTAATAGTATGATACTCATACCTATATTTACATGTAAGTTGGCTTAGTAAGGGTGTTAGTTGGCTTAGTTGATAATAAATAAATATTACTTTAATTTGTCGTATTACGTTGGATTTCCCTTCAGAATTTCCATTCAAAGCAACTTCTCAAATTAAATTTTCATACTATCTCAGATATTTTGTTTTTAACAAATCTGTAAGTCCATAATTTATTGGAGAGTTCCTATTCTTTCTTTCTTCCTTTTTCTTTTCATGTGAACTCGTTGCCATTTAATGCTTTAATAATACCTGTTGTTGCCAATGTGGCTTCCACCATAAAAACACATTTTCATTTTTAAGAAATAATAAAATGATCTCCTAATGGAAAACCACAGTTAAGAAGGACACAATTTGGAGAGAAAGGGAACTAGGGAAGCAATATTTAAGGACAGAAAAAGTTGAGTCTAAAAAACGCAAACTATGCTGCTGCAGTCGCATAATATTATAGAAATCAAGAAGTTATTACAGCTTAAGATTAAAGTATAAGAACACACTATAAAATTAAAAACTCTTCAAATGGCATGATATACAGTTATTAATAATTGTTAAGTTCCCACAAGTATTGATTTGATTCAACAGGCCAACTACTTCCCACATGGGAATTGAACCAACCAAACCAACTGGTTTTTCTCTTAGGCAACAACAACAGTCTCAGAAGACTTATTATTCTCATTCTCAGATGATACTGCAGTTTCAGAAGGCTTGTTTTCGGGCTCAGCTGGCGCTTCATTTTCAGCAGCAGGCTTGGCTTCAGCTGGTGCTGCAGTTTCAGCAGCAGGCTTGGCTTCAGGCTCAGCCGGTGCTGCAGTTTCAGCTGGCTTGGTTTCTGGCTGGACCGGTGCTTCGGCTTCCCAGAAGGCGGTCTTCTTCCCGGTTTTGGATACAGTCTGCATAACTGCCTCTGGCTGCACATTTCCTTTCACTGTCACCTTCTGTTCCTTCATATCAATGTCATAAGATTCTACACCTGCAGATAACAACATTATAATATTAATGGGACATATGAAAAGGAATAGCTAGTCTCAATAGAGCCATTTATTCCAAATTAGGTCAGCTCTGCAAATTCGCTTCTATCACACTCTTCTACCAAGAGAACCAAAATGATTGAGCCAATAAGAATGAACTGGTTAGATAAAAATCTGTTGTAATAGATCAAGTAATGAGTAAGAAAAAAGCATATCTTCCGGGCTACGGGTGGAGCAACAAATAAAGCAAAACAAGTTCAAGAGAACATTAAATTGGCAAGAAGTTGGGATGCTAAACCTTGAAATTTCTGGTAACATGTCATAATTCCTCAAGTGAGGTAAAGCAAGATGTCAAATTGAGCAATAGAATAGAGAGAACAGGGGGAAAGAGGAAAGGATAGAAACTACAGGAAGTTTCAGAATTAAGGAAACACACAACAGCCACTTGAAACCAAAAATTGTTGGCGAAGATAAATGATAACTAGTTGAACGATAGAAATTGCAGAAACTCAAGTGTCTAGAGCACGGTATGCATGATAGTCATAAATCCACTTGAGATGGGAATCAAATAGAAGAAAGAAATAATTTACACTGGAAAAGTGGAAAGTTAATTTAAAGAAGAAGAAGCAGAAAAGAGTTCATGGTGGAAGCAAAGTATACCTTCCATTTTGTCTAAAACTCTTCTCACTGCACCAGCACATCCTTGACATGACATGCCAACTTTGAGGACAACAGTCTACACCCACACAGCGAAAATTTTAGGTCAATATATAATGAAAAGGGGAGAACACTACCCCCTAACCAACGCAAACACAAAACAAAAACATTCAAAATTACTTTAAAACTCGAAAACATTGAAATCATTTTAAGAAGAGGAAACAAAGGCAAAAATAGAAGTAGTGCGATCGTAAAGCATAACACAATAACCCTTTGTTGCTTCACACTTTAATGGTCATATATGTGATGTACGGATAAGAATAAGAATTGAGAGGTCCACATAAACCACGAGAACCAGGATTATGGGTTCATATTCAAAAGGAATATCTAAAAGATGAAATCAAGCCCAAAAACTTTTAACTAAAATCGAGCTAATGATACTAGTGCATTGTGATTAACTTTAGAGATCATAAAAAATATTCTAAGCCATTCAAAGAGCTCCCAGTGGTTCAGGAGAACTGAAAGCATAACCCATCAGTTAAAGCACTTTAATCCCCCAAGCCACGGCTGAAAACTGCCCTGTTCAACAACTTTGTAAAAACACCCATATCAGGATACCTTGATCCTTCTAAGCTATTTCAAAACCTAAAACACGACCCATGAATTTCCCACAACCCCTAATTCAAATTTCATTCCCAAAATGGTATCAAACTCCAGTTCAAGGAATCCTGATTCCTGATAAATCAGCTCAGAAGCACACCCCAATTCAGCAAAAACATTCAGAACAATAAGAGAAACTCGTACATGGAATAGAATTATAGATTAGAAACAAAGACATGAAGAAATAGAAGGACCCAAAATTGAATTATCATGATCACGCCCAAGAAAAGTGATGAACAAAACCAGGCGGCGAGAGCATGAACTAGAAGAAAAATAAAGGAAGGAAAATAAAGGGTAGGATGAAGGACCTGAGCCATGGTGATGGGTGTGGAAGAAGCTGGAGAAGCAATCGAGAACGAATGAATAGAAGATGAATTCTATGCGTTGTTTGTGAAGATGATGAAGCGCGAAAGAATCTTATATAGACACAGACCCATGATGGTGCGAAGGAAGAAAGTTTGGAAGAACGTCTCCATAATTATAAAAATTAATAGTTTTTTAAAAGATACTTGGTGGACAGGTGGAGGTTGGCCGGCTTGTGTTGGGTGACCAGCAATGGCCACTTGAGATTCGCACTTTATGGCATTCGAATAATTGTGACATTTTCGTAAAGTCTTACTCTAATTACAGACACTCCTGTAATGTAATTCTTACGTGTCTCACATTTTTAATGGAATGGGTATCTATTTTGGTCTTTACAACAACTTGCATGGCGGTTTGCAATTTTTGTTGTTACTACCTCCGTTTTTTAATACAAAAATCCCTTAATTAATTTAAATATATTAAAAATATTAAATAAATTAGTTAATTAAAACAAATGTGACATGATCTTTTTTAAAATATTATTGTATTACACCAAATTATATATGTGAAAAATTTGAGAATAAATTTTTTATTAAAAATTTAATTGGCAAATAATCCATGGGATAATGGATTGCACAAAAGAAGATAAGTTGTATACCAAAAAAGTTAAGTTGCATAAAGAAAAAATGATTTGCATAAAGAGAAGTTGAGGTTATATGGTATAGAGAAAAATGATTTCACACTAGAAAAGATGGACTGCACATAAAAAAAAGTTAAGTTGTATATCATAAAAATTGAGTTGCACAAAATT